GCTCTAGTTGATTGGGTCATCAGCAAAGCAAACGAAGCCATCACAGCTGAGATTCAGGCTGCATTGGAAAACGATTCCAGCAACGGAGGCGGTGCAGCACAATGGTCAAGCGATGACACGGTCAACCTGACTGTCGTTGATATCCCACGACCGGCTCTCGGTAAAGCGATCATGATGAGAGGTATCTTCGATGATGGTCTTGGTCTCAATGCTGAAATGAAGGATGATGGAATTCCTCTCCCTCCCATTGGAGCTTCTGTCATCAGTGAAATGAACTCCGCAGTGGCCCAAGTTGAGCCAGATCTCAATATCATCACAGGCCTTGCCGGGCGAGAACGCGAACACGATCTCGACAAGCGGCAGGGGGTACTGGAAAAGGTTGGTGTTGAACTCGAGATTGACGCCTTTCTCCGACGCGTTCTATTTCCGGTTGATACCGAAGGTATCACCGTGGGAAAACGCGGCCGATTCGATCTTCCTACCACGCTCAACAGTAGCCGTGTCTGGTACCACCTCTCCCTCCATCCCACTGATGACATGCCAGCGCAGCTCGCGTCATCGGCATCTACGGCATGGTCTGCGGGTGCAGTCTCCCGCCAATTGCGAGACTGGCGACTCCCGGAATGGGCCAACCGTCGCTTGAAGCAACTCGATTTCACTGCCGATTTTGACGTGGAAGAGTTTGTAGGTCGGTATGCGCGACTCGGTTGTGCTGAAGGCCAAGATGGTGTTGAAAATTGGATCATCGAGAGAGGCTGGAGCAATGGCGATGCCGTCGTCGGCGAACAGCGCGTGTGGATGCGCGAGGGGGCATGGTGGGAAGCGGAGAGTATGCTGGATCTCAAGCCAGAAGAGGCTCAGGTCAATCCATTCATGTACGGCCCTGCGCTATACGAGTCCGGCTTCACCCCAGAGGGCACTGCTATCCATGAAAGTTCCAACCTTCTTGGAATGCCACCTGGCGGCGCCATGGCCCCAAGTGTGATGGGCGGTGCCAAGTCCATTGCTCCCAGTGCGCCATTCACCAACGCTGCCAATACCGGTGACTATGGCTTGGGCCGGAAAGGTGACGACAAGAAAGGAGACATTGCATACTATGATGAATATGGCCGGTACGTCGGCGAATTCGACCCTGAGTTTGGTGATCCGAAGCACATTGAGAAGAAAACCATCCCCTGGAGCCGTCGACTTTGGGCTGGTTTCGTCTGGGCCATGACGTTCTGGATACCTTCCTTCGTGCTTCGATACGTTGGTCGCATGAAACGCCCGGATGTCCGCCTGGCCTGGCGAGAAAAGCTTGTTCTTGTATTTTTGATTCTGCTCTTCAACGCAATTGTCTGCTTCTACATCATTGCCTTTGGTGACCTTCTCTGTCCCAACAAGGACAAGGTCTGGAATGAGAAGGAGGTTAGCTGGCACACGACTGATAATAACTTCTACGTCGGCATCCACGGCCGTGTCTATGACATCAGCAAGTTCTGGCGCACACAGCACAGTGACATAACTGGAGAAGACACAAGCTCAGACAACATGCGGCAATTTGGAGGAGAGATTTTAGATGCCTACTTTCCCCCTCCTCTCAACCGTTATTGTGCCCCATTTGTTACATCCGATACGCTCGCCCTCCAACACAACGACACAGACGCTGTCGCGTATCCTACGGCCGAGCACAAATCTGGAGCACTGTCATTAACCACCACCACGGCACTCCACAAGGATACCTGGTATGAAAATAAATTCTTGCCAAAGATTGCTTCATACTACAAGGGTGATCTGGTTTGGAAAAGGAGTGCCATTCAGACACAGGCTAACGATGATTCTCGCTACTGGGTTATCAAAGACCAAAAGGTGTACGACTTGACCGACTACTTCTATACTCTAAAAACTATGAACAACCTCGACCAATACAATTGGCTACCGTCATCTGTGACTACTCTCTTCAAGAACAACATGGGTGAAGATGTCACCGACCTATGGCAGGACACAACGGACTTCAGAAATGCCCAGACATGTCTCGACTTTGTCTTCTATGTCGGCAAAGTTGATTTCCGTGATAGTCCACGATGCACAGTCAACAACTGGATCCTGCTCGCCTTCACCATTCTCATCTGCGCTGTCATCCTGATCAAGTTCCTTGCTGCTCTGCAGTTGGGATCCAAACGTCGGCCCACGCCTCAGGACAAATTCGTCATCTGCATGGTTCCCGCATACACAGAGGGCGAGAACGATCTTCGGAAAGGCCTCGATTCTTTGACTGCCTTGCAGTACGACAACAAGCGAAAGCTGATCTTTGTCATCTGTGATGGTATGATTGTTGGCGGTGGAAATGACCGCCCCACGCCCAAGATCGTTCTGGACATCCTCGGAGTTGATCCTAAGATGGATCCACCAGCACTGCCATGCAAATCGCTCGGTCAGGGAAGTGAGCAGCTTAACTACGGCAAGGTTTACTCCGGACTGTATGAGTACGAAGGCAATGTCGTGCCGTACATCGTGGTCGTCAAGGTTGGCAAGGAATCCGAGCAGCGCAAATCCAAACCTGGCAATCGTGGCAAGCGTGATACGCAGGTCCTTCTTATGCAGTTCTTGAACCGTGTTCATCATCGCTCACCTATGTCGCCCCTCGAATTGGAAATGTTCCACCAAATCAACAACGTCATCGGTGTGGATCCCGAGCTATATGAATACTGTCTCATGGTCGACGCAGATACCACTGTTAGGGAGGATTCTCTGAATCGCTTGGTCGCCGCGTGTGCAGCAGATGCTAAAATCGCCGGAATTTGCGGCGAGACTAGTCTTCAGAATGAGGAACGTAGTTGGTGGACGATGATTCAGGTTTACGAATACTACATCTCGCATCACCTGGCCAAGGCATTTGAGTCGCTCTTCGGCAGTGTTACCTGTCTTCCTGGATGGTGAGTTCCCCCTATATGATTTTTGAGGGGAAATAAATTGATACTAACTATGCCTAGTTTCACCATGTATCGCCTTCGAACTGCGGACAAAGGACGTCCTCTCATCATCTCGGACAAAGTCATTCACGATTACGCTGACAATGATGTTGATACCCTCCACAAGAAGAACCTCCTGTCTCTTGGTGAGGATCGGTACCTGACAACCATCATGACCAAACACTTCCCAGCAATGTCGTACAAGTTTATTCCCGATGCCTACGCAAGCACAGCCGCCCCTGAAACATGGGGTGTGCTTTTGTCGCAGAGACGCCGCTGGATCAACTCCACAATCCACAACCTGGTGGAACTGGCAGCTCTGGAAGATCTCTGCGGTTTCTGCTGTTTCAGTATGCGTTTCGTCGTTCTCGTCGATCTGGTGGGAACTCTCATCCTTCCTGCGACCTGCGTATACCTCACCTACCTGATCTACCTAGTTGCTAGTAAGACGGGTCCCTTCCCTATGATCTCGATTATCATGCTGGCTGGTGTATACGGTCTGCAAGCGATCATCTTCATTGTCAAACGGCAATGGCAACATATCGGATGGATGATTATCTACCTTCTTGCGTACCCGATCTACAACTTCATCCTGCCGCTGTATGCCTTCTGGAAACAGGACGATTTCGGATGGGGTACCACTCGTGTTGTCATCGGCGAAAAGGGCGACAAGCGAGTCATCGCCGTGGAAGATGAGCCCTTCGACCCACGCAGCATCCCACTCCAGCGCTGGGATGACTACGCCATGGCCAACAACCTCCCTGGCCGCCGCGGCGACCTCAGCGCCAGCCAGGAGAAGGTCTACGCTACCGGCCGGTACGATGACATGGCTATGGAGATGGATGACATGCACTCGCAGTACTCATCTGTCAAGCCAGCCTCCACCATTCTTACCGGATTCCCGGGCCAGGGCCGTCACCACCCCTACCTACCCCCACAGTCCCCCGCACCCTTCGTCGGCGGCAACCTCCCCGGCAACCGCAACTCGCACATGTCAAACTTCTCCCGCTACACGGATATGCCACAAGCGGGCGCTCAGATGGGTGGCCACTCTGCCCAAGCTTCCCGGCACATGTCCATGGGTGGCCTCAGCGCCTACCAGGACAACCCGATGGCCGCGAGCAGACATAGCGTCGGCATGATGCAGAGCAGCGATAACCTCCTCGGCAATGCTGGCTCTCGCAGCCCCCTGCCTCAGTACACCTCTCGACCCACCAGCACTGCCTTTGATTTCCGTGCTGGCAGTGGGCCCGATGAGGGTGCCATTACCGAGGCAATTCGCGGCTGCCTGGCCGAGGTTGATCTAGATACTGTCACCAAAAAACAGGGTAAGTTTTAAACTCTCTTTCAACAATAACCATACAGTTCACTAACTGTATCCCAATAGTTCGCGTTCTCGTCGAACACCGCCTGCAAACCTCGCTCACGGGCGACAAGCGAGCCTTCCTGGACCGACAGATCGACCAGGAATTGGCTAACATGTGATTTTTTTTAACTTGTAATATGCACTCTGCATTCCGCATCACATTCATCTAGCACGTTTCTATTTTTTACTGATATTGGGTCTCGGCATCTCTGGAGTTTTCATGGGGTTCGTTTCTTTTTTTTTTTGCGAGCACAGCATCTAGCGTCTTGGTCTTTGAGCTACTTTGCTCTTTAGTCTTCACTTAACGGGATCTTCCTAGCGCCCAGTGACAATAATATATGTTTCGATGATGTTGAATTTGGCCCTTGCATCTTTTATAAATATATATCTTGCCTCGTAGGACCGCGGACTTCAATCTTGACCGATATCGTGTCTTGCATTCCAGATTGCAAAACTCGAAAATATATCGGGTGCTCGGGTGTCGACAAAGTGCTACATCTTCATCTTTCAGTTCAAAATATATAGAACCCCACAACGTTTATTATAAATTATGTATCAGGGGGATTTAAGTGGCGGTTTAGCGTTCAACATGAATATGAAAATTACCTAACATGATGTCCTATTGCAGGCGACTATGGTTTTGGAGATACCATATCACTAATTTACAATGACCATTCCTAGACCTAACGATGCACAATATTCTTATACTGATCCAGTAGCTTCTTGAAACCCTTCGAGTGATGAGACGTGAGATGCTGGTAGTAATGATCCCTCGCAGCATCCATAATCGCCTTCACCTTCTCTGCAGGAACTTTCTCTTTACGATCGTAAGTATACAGACCATTCACCTCCTGCTCGATATCGCATCTAGATCAGAAAAGAAACCCAATATTAGCAGAAGTTCCCAGGTGCCAATTCCAAAAGCCAGGAATGATGTGTGCAACGTACAATTGAGTCCAGACAAGCCCACAAATATGTCCTGGCTTCACAACCGCCATGACCAGCTTCTCAAATCGCACTAAGAAATCTGCCGGGTCACTCGCAGTCGTATACCCCCAGTCCCGCTCCCCGGCAGCAGCAGAGTCCTTAGGCGGTGCGATATTAACCCCGCCAAACTCAGTGCAGATCACCGGTGCACCAGGAGTATGCCGGGCACCTTTATCGACGATCACGGAGCCGGAATATCCAGAGTAGATCGGTTTGGTGAAAACCTCGTGCCCACCTTTCAATTCGAGGATTCCTGACATGGTAGCGCATGCTGCACTCAGTTCAACGGAGTCGCTGTAATCGTGGAAGGTTGTTAGATCTGTTTTGACGTGTTCCCAGCCGCAGTTGTCGTTGATTGGTCTGCTAGGGTCGAGGATCCTGAATTTTATATTAGCTGGTTCATCAATTTCATCTTGGCAGTGTGGACACATTGAAAATGCCACCGGGTGGGGCATACTTGGTCAAGTAGTACAGAGCGCGAACATGATTACGCTGCTCGATATTGTCCTTCAAGGCAGATACACCCCACGACTCATTAAGCGGTGTCCAGGTGACCAGCGATGGGTGGTTGATATCCCTCTTCACGGCCTCGGTCCACTCGCTGGTAAACCGCTCAATGTAGTCAGTGTCGAACTCGTAGGCATTTGCCATCTCGCCCCAGACGAGGAAGCCCATCCGGTCTGCCCAGTAGTAGAAGCGCGGATCTTCAACTTTCTGGTGCTTGCGACATCCATTGAAGCCGAGTTTCTGCGCTAGCTTGATATCTGTTTTCAAAGCCTCAGAGGAAGGAGGTGTCATGCCTGTTTCGGGCCAGTATCCCTGGTCCAGGAATAGCATCTGAAGATACGGCTTTCCGTTCAGTCGGAATGTTCCATCGCCGTTTTGCCAGGATAGACTGCGCATTCCGGTTGTAGTCTGGACTTCATCAACAAGACTTCCGGCCCCATCGAACAGACGAAGCGTGATATCATAGAGGACAGGATGCTCCGGAGCCCAGAGCGCAACACCCCGACTCCAGACTCCATCAACGCCAAACAACTCCGGGCTCTTTGTCTTCAAGTTCCCCACTGCAGCTTCAGTAACCTTTATACCCAAATCAACCGCAGCAAAGGTTTTATCCTGCATCAGCTCGCCGTCGACCTTCGCAATACTCAGCCCTCCAAGGGACACTTCAACCTCGACCTTCGCCGCACTTCCAACCCGACGTCCGGCAACATGAACCTTTGCATGCAACTGGCCGCGTTCAATATCATCAGACCGAAACACCGTCCCTCCACTCCCACAAAGCAACCGCATAGTCGGAACACTCTCCAACCAAACAGACTGCCAGATACCCCCGCTGGGCGTGTAGAAGATATTCTGCGGCACGGGACCCCAGTACTGCTTCCCACGCGGTTGGGTCATGTCATAAGGCGAGTCTCTAACCCGAAGAGTGAGCCGAGCCTCTGTAGCGCCGTCGGTCAGGGCGTCGGAGATATCTATATCGAATGGCACATGTCCACCACGGTGTCCGCCGACAAGGATACCATCTACCCAGACAGAGCACTCGTAATCGACAGCGCCGAAGCGGAGGAGGAGTTTATTCCCGTTTTGTTTTTCACCGGCTGTGCGGATGTCTTTGATGCGTCGCTCGTACCACATTACCTCGTGCGCTTCGATGAGGTTTACACCCGAGGCTGGGGTTTGGAAGGCATATGGGACTGTTATCTGGTGGGAGGGTTTTCCCTGGAGGGTGGTTTTGTGCCATTGCGAGCTTAGCCCTTCGTCTTTGTCGTCGAAGGTGAAGGTCCAGGGACCGTCTAGGGTATTCCAGTTTAGAGAGCTGCGTTGGAAGTCCGGGCGGGGGTAGGATGTTGCCATTTTTGGGTATTATGGGAGTTTAGTTATTTAGCTCAAGGGGTTTATGATTTCTTGGGAGTTGTAGGTTGACGATTGGAAGTGTGGGAGAGAGAAGTAGAGGTGTGCGTTCACTTCGACCCCGCGTCTAACGTCACTCGCCACGGGGGGCATACCGAGACATACATGTCACTGGAAGCTATCTATGAGGTTCATCTTAAGACATGTATGTGTGATGCTCGAACAGGGGAGCAGTTTCCTCAAAAAACTTAGATTGGAGAATGTGTTCTAATGGCAAAATCTCATTGATGATTGGGGGATATCAAAAGAGTAAAACATCAACATAAAAACCCAACTTATCGGAAAACTCCTCCGAAGTCAATGCCAGATCGCCCTGGTATCAATTCAGACTATCCAACCCTTTCCTCCGAATGCGCACCGCGAAATAAATAAATAAAAAAAAAGACAAGAAGAGGCAGGATATGGTCAAGACCATGACTCCTTGCTCTATCGCACGCAGATCTTGGATATCTCGTTTTCTTTTCTTGACGCCTTCATTGCTTGCGTTCCGTGGTATCAATCAACAAGAAGACCAACAAAAAGACAACCGAAAAAAAAACACGCTGGGAATGAGAATAAAAGCAGAAAAAGACAATAAAACAAAAACAACTCAACCAAAAAAAGGGTATACTGCTGCAAATGGATATTTTGGTTTTAACGCGGTGGCCCAATTGGGGCCGGGTATCCAGAAGTAGAATTGGAAGTGCTAGGACGACCACTATCAAAAGAGGTGCGCGGGTCATGCTTTGGGGTCATGTCGCCCGGCGCGGTGCCGAAGGGGAACTTGGCATCGAAGCGCGTGGGCCAGCCATTGCTGGTACTGCTCTTGTGGCTGTGGGAGCTCCCCAGGACGGGCAAGTCGTCTTCGGGGAGGTTCACGCCGGAGTCGTTCCATGGGTTCCGGTAGCCGCTATCGCGCGACTCCATGGAGACGAGTGAGGCCTTGGAGGCGTTGCTCGAGGCGTGTTTGAAGAACGATCCCGGCGAGGCGGAGTGATTCTTGCGGCCGATGAACGAGGAGAAGGACGAGATGCTTCCGGGTTTGCGGAGGCGCTCGAAGATCGATCCTCGTTCGCTGGTCTCATCGGAGAAGTTGGGCCGGGTGGGCGAGTCGGTCGAGAGGGGCGCTGGAGCGTGCTGCAGTAGCTTCGAGTCGAAGAAGGGCAGCGACTCTTCGAACGAGTCGGATTTAGGGCGCGGAATAGCACCCTTGACGGTGTTCGCGTCAAGTCCATGTGCAACAAGGCGGGAAATCAGGAAGTCAATCGCATCCTTCAAACCACCGGCGTTGTTGCGCGTGTAGCCGAGGACCACACGGTCTTCAGGCCCGGGGGTGGGAGACGAGGAACCTTCCTCGCGGGTAGTAGGAAGATCGGTACCAACATCGACGTTGATATCGACCTCGTACTGTTCCTTGAGCTTGGTGCGAACATCGGCGAGGAAATCGGAGCACTTGAAGTAGTCCTGGAGTTCAACTGAGCTCTGGAAGTGAAGCTCGTGGCTCTCTGGCACCATGCCAAGCAATGCGTCGACCGCTTGGGGGACCTGATACTCAGGGCCGGAGATAGTGACAACGTCACTGGCAAGTTCGGTGCTTGGGAACTCGATCTTGCAGTTCCATTTCTTCTCCAGCTCGTCGATCTCGGTCATACGGGCCAATAGCTCACGATGATATAGGCGGTTGATGACGACTCTCTCGGCCACGTATTCGGCATCCTGCAAATTGTAAGTTTCTAATCATGAGATCAAAGCTGTGGACAATGTAAGCACTTACGACTTTCTCAACCATGTCCATAATCTCCTGCTTGACAAGGTCCAGACTCTGAGCGTTGCGAGCAGGGGTCCGACAGATCACGTTGTCAACCTTAATGTCGTCATCCTCCTTGCCCATGCCGCCGCGGTCCATGGCATTGGAGAACTTCACGAAGACGGAGTACTTCTTCATGATGCGCTGGATATGCTGTCCACCAATCCCAATGATCCGCTTGTGATACTGGTCAGGCACATGGAACGAGATCGATGCAGGCATCTCCTGCTCAACCAAGTCCAAGCCATTCTTGGTCGACTCATACTGGTTGCCGCACACATCGATGTAGAAGTTGTACTCGTTGAAACCGTCGAAGATGATCTGGACATTGCCTGAGTGCGAGTCAGTATCTCGCGTCACAGGTAGACTGTCTGGTAAAACTCACTCTGTCCCATGATCTTGTTGATCTTTCCGTTCTTCTTGCCACTAACGAACTCCTTGTGCTCGTTGGCCAGCTCGATCTTAACCCGCATCTGATACTGGCTTCGCATCACGAAGGGAATCTGGTTGATGACTGTCATGGCAGCCTTAACTGCATCATCGGAACCGTTGATCGTGAAAGTTAGATTGTCAAAGCTGACTTCCGCTTCCGAGTTGGTGCAGATATCCGATAGCATGGAGCGAATATCGGCAGTTGCGGGAGCACGGAGACCACCTTGGGCCGGGTCAGGCATGATGATCCACCACGAGGCACTATAGAATTGACCAGCCTGTGCATTTAAAGATTAGCAGATCATTTCGTCAGAATATCACAAAGCGACATACCAGAGCCATGATTTCCCGAACTGTCCGCTCAACGTGCAGCACCTCGGTACCTTGAATCCGAACAAGGCCGCGTTGGCTACCCAGCTGCGGGAAAAGAACATAAGACCCGTTCATTTCCATCACCTTCCGGACCTTATCCAAACGATCGAGTAAGATGTTGTCGATCTTGCTTGAACTGACAACCACGTCTTTGACAAAAATCTTTACACCCATGACAAGTTCTCGCAGCTTCTGCTTGGCGCGAGCAATCTGTTCCGGGGTCTCACCCGTAATGTAGACCTCATCCTCACTTCGGCGGTTCGCACCGGGGGGTATATAACCAAAAATTTGGGGGAAAGGCGGAGGGAAGTAGATAGCGGTGCCAGTAGCAGCCTCGATGAGCTTGATGTTCTTGCGGGTGCGGCCACAGACCAAGGTATGCATAGTCGAGTCCAATTTGATGGCATCCACATGGCGTTTGAGCTGGTCTCCAGTTAGTTTGCCGGCCTCATGACACACGCACACAAAGACGTACTATTTGGTCAATCATGATCAGGACCCGGGTTTTGGCATGTTCCGAGCTCTCCAAATCACCGTAAATGGCAACCCGGAAGCGCTGGTCCAAGCCATTGTCCGAAGCGTAGCCATAGGACGAAACTACCGCACTATCCGCATCATGGAGCTTGGGAGTCAGCAGGAAAATGTCAGCCCCGGTGTAGGCGGCTAAAGTGTCGAGGTGCTCGAGGACGCTAGCTCTGATTCCTTTTGGTGATCCATCTATAATCAGATGCATATCTACATCAACGGTCGCACATCTCTGAACGGTCCGATGTTAGCAAGGGATGTCTGTGGGCCTGAAAATCCTGTTGGTGTCGGAAACCAAAAAATTTCGTCCACGTACCAGCATGATCGGGGTCTCATTCAAGATTCTCGCCCGCATCTTTCGTGCCATCTCCCCATCACCCGTGACACAGACGTTGGTCACCAAGCCATTCGGCCGGCGTTGTAGCGCTGGCACAGCCTTGGCTTCGGAGGTCGTGAGCGTAGCTTCCACCCGTCCTCCCTTTTCTTCTGTGATCTTCCGACATAACCTCTGCAAGCCTTCAACATTGTTTGTGTGGACAGGAAGCTGGTGTACCGATGTGCCCTCCAAGGTGTCTTCCGGGAAAGTCCAGCGCTGGAGGGCACCAGGACTGGCGTGGAGCACATCCTCGACATCGGGGCCGGCTAGGGTCGACGAGAATGGGACGTTGAAGGACAGATTGACCGTTGGATCGATGCTAGTCGGCGGTGTCATGGGTGGCGCACCGTGTGGTCGGCGAAAAGCCATGTCGGTGTGAGGTCTAGACATCCCGAAAGTCGGTGTCATTCGTTCCCAACCATGACGGGCTTGGCCCGTGAAGTTGGATATCTTGTGCATGATTAGAGAAATCTCTAACCCCTTGAGCGAGTCGAGGGGATAGAGAGAGTGAGAGAGTGGATGGATTGGGTTGGGGGGGGGGAGTGTGGAAGGAATCAGGCCGTTCTCGACAGGGATGGGAATGACCTGTGTGGGCGTTTCGACCCGGGAATGGTGGAAACGAAGATCGATGGGGCCAACCAACGCAAATCTTTAATAAGAGAGAAGAAAAAAGAAATCAGGTGAAAATAAATATATAATATGTGTATATATCTGAACATAAAAATAAATAGAATAGAAATAGCGATAGAAGTAGAAAACAAAACAATAGAGGGAAATAAAATCCAAAAAAAACTAGGTGTCGTCAGTTCTTGCGGGTCTTCTACTTATTTCTGCAGTTTTGGATTTTATATTCTTGTTCTATTTCTTTTTACTTGAGACCTTTAAGACATTTAACTATGAAAGGGTCTTAAGATTCCCTATCTTGTTCTCGAACCCACATTGCCCTCAATCAAGAATGCAGGATCTTGAATGTCCATTCGCAAGGGTCTTCTTGGCAAATGGAATCTAGCCAATATTGGATTGTTAGTACCCGATACAGCACATCCCATCACATTATAAACTACCTAGCAAAGTATCCTAGTAAAGTATCCCGAATTTGAGTCCCTGCCAAACCCTGTCCCATACAAACTCTAAGCTTATCAAGTATGTGCAAGTGATGGGGGATCTTACGGAGTACTCCGTACAGTGAAAGTGACTATTCTGCGCCTCAAGGCTGTGCATTCACCTTGGCCTTTAGTGCCGAGCTTCAGGTACTTCGGGATCCGAATCATTCCGTACCGTACCAAGCATACACGGGTCGATCCTTTCATAGGCTCCGGGATAGAGAACCCTGTATGCCGCCGTATCTCAGTCCACTGGCCTAGCGGCGGTGATAGGACGCCCATCACACCGGCTGGGCCGGACGCTGGGTAAACTGAGGGGTCAAGCCTGGTTAGGCATTGTGGAGCTAAAGGTTGATCATACCGCTGATGCCTAAGTGGGATTCTGACTTCCGATGACATGTCTAGACTCTACGGCCCCGGGGGACAACCTGTTGTGCTTCCGATACATACAATACACAACTCTGTAATTTAATGATGTAAATTCAATGCACAAAATACTATAGTACGGAGTATGCTTATGCTACAATGGACTGGGCGGGGGGGGGGAGGGAACTGGGAACCATTGTCCAGTCCAGGTGGGATAACTTCCCCTCATATAGTCGACGTCATCTGCTCGTATAGACGGTAGTGGGTCATTTCTTCAGCTCAAGGACTCGACAATTCCGACTGGACCGTTGGTTTTGAAAACCAGACTGCAGGGGTTGTCGACCCGTCCCCAGTTTCAAAGTGAGAGGGGACTTATCACATCCTGTTTTAGCTGATAGAGCAAGCTTCAAGAAATCATGGATAAAACCGTTAATTGGTGTATAAAGTAAAGCTTGTGAAAGTTTGATTTCATTTTTTGGGTGGTTTTTTCTTCTCAGTTTCGCTCTATGGTACGTGTAAATTGACTACTTGATTGCACGTAGGTTAGATATATAACTACTTTTGCCACCTTTCACTATTATCGATATAGCCTTCTCAACTCCACCGAGTTCGCTTAGGCGGATCGATCGATACAGGTCGTCGATCGTTACATGTAGTATTCTAGTGCAAAACCATGTACTCCACACGTGGTACGTCGACATCGGGAAACGGTTGGCAACGCTAATAGCCATTATCTACAGTATGTTATAAACGGCGAACCTGTGAATTACTGTATCGGGTTAGTTTTACCTTTTTTGTGGTTTAGCGCCCTAATACGCTGTCACGTAACCTCACCCCAATGCCCTCCAATATAAAAGACTCGTCTTCGCTACCCTTCCTCCCTTGCTCTTAATTTTCTATTAATCTACGTCTCTATCTTATACTTATAAGTTATCACCGCCCTATTTCTTTTACTTTAGTACCTACTAAATACTACAAATTTACTTTTAGCCTTACGTACTACCCCTGTCATTTTTACTAGAGATATCGCTTGGTCCGACGCCTAGTTTGTTCTAGCTAGCCTAGGCTACGATCAATCCAGTTGCCTAGGTACAGAGCCTCTAGGATAAGATGATCTAACCGCATCGTTCGGTCTCGTGTTAATACTCCCTCTTACTCTTTTCCCAGGGGAGCAACAGTGTATCGTGCTACGAAGCTATCTAGATTTCCCTCTGCGGAGTACATCTTACCCGCCTCTGATGCCAGCGGCCTCCCTAACAAGTGCAGAGTGCTAGCTGTCTCTCAATGCCGTATGCGCAGGTAATTTCTCTACCACCCCTGGGGTTACATTGTACAGCCCCGACGTCACAGCGTGGCCCGCGAATAGCATGGCCCCGTTGTCGTTATCGTCGGTCTCCGGTTCCTCTTTACCCAGCTAGTGGATAAATCAAAACAAAATAAACCCCGCACTACGTTGGGTGGTACCACTGCAGAGGGGAGTACTTGAAGTCATGTTATTATCTGTTGCCTCTCTGCTTCTTCTCCTGCTATATGAACCATAAACATCATGATTGTTGACGCCCTTATTCTCGGCGCCGGCCCGGCCGGCCTCGCAGCAGCCAGCGCCCTAGGCCGCGCTCGCCGACATGTCCTGATTATCGCTGGTCCCGACTATCGAAACCGGGCGAGCCCTGCAATGCATGGCGTTCTAGCTTGCGAAGGGATGAATCCCATCGAGTTCCTCACTCGGAGTCAGCATCAGATCACAGCTCTATACCCGACCGTTCGCCTAGAGTCTGACACTGTTGTCCAGCGTGCCGCGCAGATCGGTACCCAAGAGAAACCAGTCTTTGAGGTTCAGACAGCTACAGGCGCGGTTTACCAAGGCAGGCGTCTTATCCTCGCGACCGGCGCTATCGATGAACTCCCAAATGAGATTGCCGGCTTTGCGACCTGTTGGCCTGACCATATCTACCAATGCCTACTCTGCGATGGCTTTGAGCGAGCCGAGGGTCCATTTGGTGTTGGGGTCCTTGCTAAGCCTCTATCGGCGCACTATGTGCATCTCGCCTTACGGGCGCGATGCTTTAATGACCGCGTGGTTGTCTATACCGACAGTCTCTACACCAAAGAGCAGCAAGACGAGGCCGCGAAGCTATTTGCACCCGCATTAGCCCAAGGTGTTACTCTAAAACATACACCTATTAGCCGTCTAGAGCCTAATAACAAAGGCCTTGGGGTTGATATTTATCTAGAGGGCGGTCAATTGGAGCATGTTGACTTCCTAGTGTATAAGACACTCACTCGGCCCGCTAGTACCGATCTAGCACTACAGCTAGGCCTCCAAGTCAACGAAATTCCTGGCCAAGGCTCGGTAATCGCGTGCAAGGAGCCGACTGGGGCGACTAGTGTTCCGGGGTTATTTGTCTGTGGTGATGCCGGTAGTCTGATCAAGGGAGTGGCCCCGGCTATGGCACAGGGCCTTTGTGTTGCAGACGTGGTTTGGGGGGGTCTGCTAGAGGAGGATAAATCTTAGAAAGAATGCGTTCTGGCATCTGCCCTATATTTTCTTCAACAGACTATATAGTATAACGGGCCAGCCCCATTCAAGGGCTTGATTCTTGGAAACCTCTAAGATCTTCCGAAGGTAGTGAGAATATATTTGATTTGCTTAAATAAAGTATACTCATAAGTCTATAATTACTTTTGCTGAGCGAAGCGAAGCAAACATACTGAACATTGAATTTCTTAATTACTAGGTCTAAATCCCCGCCTTTCAGATTTGAGATCTGGCCTCTGATTGGTGGCAGAATTTATATGTAACGTGACTAGGTAGGGTAGCACCATATCACGTGATTTACTTTAAAAATCTTAAATGTCTAGACACCTTATAAGCACGTGATCTTTCCCTATTTGACTACCTTAACTAGTTAGTCATTTTTATTACCTAAATCACGTGATATGTACCGATCTACGCTAAATTAGGTAGGGATTACATTATATACTAGCTACTAACCTAGCTACTAATGTAGTATAGCTAGTCTTCTACACAACCCAGTAAAACCCAGACCTAGCCTAGACCTAACCTAGTCTGTGTTATCAATGAGCATCATCATACTCCCTCTTACTCTTTTCACAGGGGAGCAACAGTATATCGTGCTACGAAGCTATCTAGGTCCCCTTCTCTGCTAGAGCACTTTGCTCGTTAAGCGTCACTTATTCTACCGGCCTTTTATCGCATCTGCAAAGTTCCGGTATACTACCTCCGATGCTATATGCCCCGCTCCATCGTATCCGCCCTATCTGAGATTACATTTACATAGCCTCGATATCGCAGAATAACTCTCCGTTGCCTCGTCGCGAATCCCGTGACGCCTATTTATTATTATCGTTGGTCTCTCCGGTCTCTCCGGTCTCTCTGCAACTACTCGATAAATCTCGAAGGCATAGTATGGCGATATAGGCTAATAGCAAAAATGCCTCGCACGCGCCTAACCTCGGCCGTGTAATAGAGGATGCCTAGTTGTCAGGCCAGCACCTGTTAACCAGGCAAGAAGCAGCAGTGGAGAGGAAAGTATTGTATTCTTCATACATCGACAAATTCTTGCCAGGGGGAAGTCATTCCTGGGATCTCGATCCTTTATAGATACTATCCAAGAATACAAGCGTAAAGATGATGATCTCTTTGTACTTCCGCTACTCTTTATGGAACTATGCATGATGCCATCTTTACTCCTGCATAGATGAAAGAATTTATACATAAAAGATTCCTGAAGCACTAAGTGGGGCCTCAGGTTGTAAGGAAAGGTATCCTTTACATTATAACTAATAGAAATCTCGTATATAGCAAGGCACTATATAGATGAGAGATGTGTATGACTCTAACTAACTAAAATGATAAAGATCCACTACTTGATAATTTGTGCGGACATCGACGACTAGACTTAATATGCGCTTTTGTATGATACTCGCATCTGTAGCAGTCCATGTATTTCCCGAGGGTTCGACTCGGTTTTCAACCATTTAGTGTAACATAGCGTTTGACAGTATTGACCAGGGCTCAATTCGGCAGTCTTGGAACCTGATGAAACTATTTCCATACCTCTGACACACGACTTATAGACAATTTTATCCTCCAACATCTATCTCCGTTAAAATGCCGGTCACACTCGGTCTCAAGCTGTCATAACTTGAGCACATATTCTTAGAGAGGCTTAAACATCAACTCTAGACTTTCGCCTTTTTTCCCAGTGACAAATCCGGATGCATTGATAAACCGTGTGTCATCATGGATTGAAACCTCAAAGTTGCTGAATATGGCTGCCATTGAGAAGCGCAGCACTGTCGATCAAAGTGTCAACCATGTGGAATTTTGAAATTTAAGGGCACTGACTCACTTTCAAGCGCCAGGTTCTGGCCCAAACACCGTCGGCTGCCAGTTCCAAAAGCCCAAAACCATCGTTCCTGCTCTCCAGGTGCAAACTGCTGATTATCATCGAGCCAACGATCAGGTATCCAAGCTTCTGCATCTGGAAAAACCTCTTCCTTTCTATGTAGACACCAGGCAAAGGCACTGACCCTGACACCAGGGGGAATATTTTCATAAGGGCCCAGTTTCGTCAGCGTACTAGCTGGGGTAATGCGTGGGTTAGAGGTGGGCACATTTCCTCGTAGGCGGATGGACTCCTTGAGCACGGCGTTGAGATAAGGGAGAGATTCTAGTGACTTTGCAGATGGAATTGAGGTCTCCGTGCCACCGGAGAAGTGGAACGCTGTCTTCATCGTTTGAAGCTCTTCACGGAGCCTTTCTTGCGCTTTGGGATGGCGAGAAAGGTATAAAAGAACGAACGAGAAGACAATGCCTAAAATTGAATGATGAGAAAAAGTCACTGTTTTTATTGTGCAAAAGATGGGCCGGAATTAATTTACCGAATGTATCTCGGGTCGCCACTTTGATTCAGTCAATTGAGGTTCACCACCAGGGTACAGGATAATAAATACTAAGTAGGGATGCTTACCAAGATGATCCAAACATTCACTGGCCAGCTCTAGACGTTGTGTTGACGAAGGGATATCGGATGAATTTTCACTTCCACCAACTATGCCTGATCGCAGTTGGTGGTACATTTCCGGGAATTCACCAGGCTCAAACTTGCTCTTGTTAGAATGAAGCAATGCCACCTCTGTCGCGTCCACAAGGGAAATGATCCAGGAATCAAAGCGGTTCACTGCGTTGAAATATTTTTTCGGGACAGGGGATATACCCAACTTCCTCGTAGCAGCAACGACATCAGGATATTCCTGAAGCCAGAAAAGAGGTCCTCCAGAGTAGACTGTTGCGTAGGACTCCAACCATCTATCGCGAGCTTCGATATTCTGTAAGAAGTTTGTAGAGCGAGAAAGACCAAAAATGAATGAGGACACGAAGTCCAGACTAAAGGCAAAATTCACTGGAAGAACATCCAATGCGGTGCCTGCTCGTGCATGTTCTTCAAGAGCAGGTAGAAGGCGTGTCTTTAACAGGCGAGATAGCAAAGTGCGGACATGGGGCGATGCTTGAACATAGGGTTTGGTGTATACTGAGCTGATTCTATGCCGACGCATGGAATGATCAGGACCAAGCGAGGAAAAGCAGTTGCGAGCGCTGACGTTGTATAAGCGTCGCAACATGGGAGAGTCAAAGAACATAATATTCAAAGAAAACCAAAAACCTACCCGTTATGCATAAAAACCGAATACCAGCTTGTCTTTGTGCAGTTGTTCTGTGCATACCCATGAACTACACGGATTGCATCCATGTTGTTCACAGCAATTTCATTTGGCGCAACCCGTACAATAGACCCCTTTGTCATGAATGCATTCTGGAAGGTAGAAACTTCCTCGCCTTGGAATCTCTTCCATTGCATCCAGATAGGCGTGATTGCCGAAAGCCAATTTGCATTTGGAATGCTTGCCAGAGGGGAGAAAAACAATGGATATAAGAAAAATTTATAAATGCAAAGGGCGGAGATGATAAAAAGTCCAGTGACGATGAACATGATGGCAATTAGGATTTGTGAGAGTCGGAATATACAGGATAGAGCCTCTGTCGACCAGAAAATATGAAAGAACTTGGTCACGCAGAGTAGCCAGGAGGTTTGGAAGATTTATAGTACAACATAACTCGACTCTGCAGAGTGCCAGTTGCCCCAAAATGAAAAAGGAAGAAATTATGCGACCAGCAGGGTACAGCATCCAGCCCCCTTCCAACCCCAGCGCCTGACTGACAACTTGTTCATCACCAGGTTTCCTCAACCGAAGGTCTTATCCACCTCGGCGATGAGTGAGCTAGGCCTTCCCATCCGTTGAAGGTCGGTCTATCCCAATTGGGGCAATAATTTGAGATTGACCCTTGAAGAGATGGTCGCATGACAATCAAACATTACATTTGGTAGAAATTGCGAACCCTAGGCAACCAAATGTCCCATTTTATCCGGTTTCAGAAGCTTGAAATTGGAAGTTGCGGAGAACTCGGCCCTGAGCTTCCACTGAGCCCCTGGTAGCACCTGCAGGACGCCTGGAAATTCCTTACCAGGACATGATCGTTGTGCTCCTCGACCTGCACGATAGATTGTGAGCTTCGCTCTCCCGTCAGCAAGGAAGATGGAAAAGGGAAGAGATGGGCAGGGGACGTAACAAAAACAAACATGATCTAACCATGGGGCCTGACGTCAGGTTAGGCTTCGAGTGGCAGGCGGTAGCGTCAGGCGGAAGTACATACGCTGGTCCTGCCCGGGCGTGGTCGAGACCGGTTTAAAGAGCGCTTTTCCTGGTTCCTGCGGGCCGGGCGGGTTTATGTTGGTTCCCCGCAAGTTCCGATTGGATAGTACCCCTGGCCGCCAGGGACCGACTAGGAAGCAGCTGCATCATCTAGTCATTGAACGGACATAGAGCGGGGTTTATGACCCCAAAACGTGGTCTTAAAATACAGCAGCAAGGTCTGTAGAAATATCTTTCCGGCACGGTGGTTGAAATAATTTCAGGGCCACAACCTGGGGCAGCCCGGACTATTAGCAAATGCACGTGATACAAGGCCCGAGGAGCTAGGGACGTTGAAATCCAGTCTTTCACCAGGCATATTTGTCCGATGACTCACTCTTTAACAGTCCTTCACCACTTTTACCATAATAGTCGTAGTCGCTACTGTGTAATTTGACGATACATAGGTTAAATCCAAGGCTAGCAATTTTGGATATTCCACGCTGAAAAATATTGGTTTTAGTATGGCTATCTTTCAAAAATGTCGAGTAACAGAAAATGATACCAGTTTTCTTATGTGTCAATACTGAGTTGTTATCAAATCAAGAATATCATGCTAACCCCGACCGTTCTAGCTCAGATTTTCTGCTACTATAAGTACTATCTGACATGCAAAAGTAAGTGACATGTCACTTCACATGAAATCTCAGATACATCGGTAAAATATTCACGCACTAGGTATGTTCTCCACTGCAGGGGTTGCTTCAATCTTCAAACCTGTCTTAGTTTCCACGTGCTCCTTGTTCAACTTAACCTTCTGAATGAAGGCTGAGAAGAGGATACCGAGAGCGGACATGCACGTATACAAGATCCACATGTTCCTCAAGCTCCATGTAAAGGCCTCCCTGACTGCAAGTAGCTGCGCTTTGTCGTTGATAGCTCCGATATATTCAATGCTTGCAGCAGAATCGCCAGACATTTGAGCCACCATGCTGGGAGACATGCCGGAATCCAACAAACTAGCCTGCCTTTTCGTCATGCTATTCTGGAAAACAACACCACCAATGATAACAGAGAAAGCATTTGCCATATTACGGACTACACCAAGCGTTGCTGTAGCAGTAGCGGTATCTTCTTGGGATACTGTAGCCTGAATAGCAATGATAGGCGTTTGGAATAGGAATCCGATACCAAGTCCACTGAGAATCTGATATCCGATGATCTCGCTGATATGCGAGTCCACAGTGAGATTGATATAAAGCCCATTGCCGAGGGTCATAAAGGCTAAGCCAATCCAGATAAGTTCTAGATACCGGCCTGTGTAGTGGATGATTACACCGGTGAACACGCCAGACACAGCTTCCGTGATAACCAGTGGAAGGACAAGAATACCTGAACTCATAGGTGATGATCCATGAACAGATTGTAGATAAAGAGGTATATAGTATTCTCCAGCAATAAAGACCTATAATCATATCAGCAAAATATAATCAAAGTAAGCAAAGGGTAAAGGTACTCACAAAACCATGGGCGAATGTCACTAACAAAGTAGCAGTATTTGACACTCGAGTGAAGATGTACAGAGGCATCAAAGGGTATTTTGCGAGTCGCTTCTCACTATAAATGAATAGCAACGAGCACAGAGCCCCAAAGATAATCAAGCAAATTACTTGTGGTGACTTCCAGGAAAATGTCACACCACCAAAATTCAGTCCTAGCAAAATCATAAGAGTCAGGCCAAGAAAGAAGAGACTGCCGAACCAGTCAATTGCTCGAACGCCATCCATTATCTTCGTCTTAGGATTGTGTACATCCAATGAAAAGAATATCAGAACGAATGCAATGCCAGAGACTGGTAGATTGATCCAGAATATCCATCTCCAGTTGACATATTGAGAGAAGGCTCCACCGAGCAAAGGCCCAATTCCGGCGGCAAAAGCCCACATGAGCTCCATCAGGCCGAGATATAAACTTCGTTGTCTATTGGGAAGGTCAATAATGAAACTCAATACAGCCATAGAAGCTCCTTACCTGACACTAAACAAATCTGAGATGGTGATTGTAACAATTTGGAGCAAGCCGCCACCTGCTACGCCTTGTAAAGAGCGACCAACGATGAGAATATTCATCCCCACCGCCGTCGCACATACAATCGAAGCAAGAAAAAAAAGCCCAACAGCTAGAAGCAAGAGGGGTTTCCGGCCCCAAATATCAGAGAGCTTCGCCCAAATACACGCCGATGCAGCATTTGCGAGGAGATATGCGCCTAGAGGATAAGTGAGCCATGATCATCTTAGCAAGGCGAAGCAGCCCACCTACCACCTATCCATGTATATCCGGAAGCGCTGTGGAGCTGGGCAGCAATTGTGGGAATTGCTGTGGCTACGATGCTTTGTTCTAGAGCAGCAATAAACATTGATAACTGGATCATGGGATTAGCAGGGAAACACTAGATTTTCTTGCAGGTGGCATCTTACCGAAAGCGCCGTCATAATCACGAAAAGACGGAATTTGCTTCGCCTCGGTGGATGGGGCTCCTGCAATTCCATTATGAAATATGCTGCAGCTGATGATAGTGAGGAGTGGATTTGAAGATTGGAGAGTTAAAAGACCGGGCCTGGTTTCAAAGATCTGCCCAGGGAGAACAGAGCACTGGTCAATCAGTGAAGGCAAAAAAGACCAATTCTTAGGAAATTTCTTGAGAGCTGTCTCAGGAGGCGATGTGATGAATAGGGAAAGGTTGTGATATTGGAGGTGAGTGCGAGAGGGAGAGAGGAGAGGGAGGCACAGCAATCCGGATGCCCAGGGCCATTAGTGACTCAGAAATCCACAGCCAGTAGGACGCCCAATAGGAACAGAAAAAGAAAAGGGAAAAGAAGGAGCCGATTCCACAAAAAGCCGAGCTAGGTAATCGCTTGGACGCATAGTCTAGGAAAATAGCAAAACAAAGAACTTCGGAAATCCGTCGGGCTGCTGTCCTACCAGCTATAGCATAATGTCTGATTTTATGGACTACATGCATCAATGGGGCCTGAAAGGACGTTTGTTTTAGTTTAGTGGGCTATTGGGACATTCGGACGCAACAAGTATCTCACTGCAGTGAGCTACACTGTACATAGAATTTAAAGCAGGAAATATGTAATCACATTTCTCCTTGTCATCTCACTTTAAGAATTGGAATTTTCATGCACTGCAACCCTAGAGATCCTAGTCTTGATTATAATTTTGGTTGCCTTCATATATTTTGCAGCCCAGAAAAGTACATTGCCTGGCCAGTATATTAGATCCGCATTAGTGTGCCTTGAGTCAGCCACCCCGGGCGTGCGAGCCGGCTACCCTGGAACTCCATATTGATAGCGATAAATTACAAATGAATATCCCAGCAGCCCTAGTAATTGAAAGCTACTAGTAAATGTCGAAGTTCCATAATATTTAATATACCATTGTCACGAAAACATCCATGGATAGAAATCAATAGCATATGCACAGTGGAGCATAAAGCAAACCTATAACTCAGACAAAGCACCCTCCAGTGGAAGAGTCCATTTCCAATATTCTGAAATGCACAAAAGATGGCAAGGCGGATCATTATTCAATACCCTCGGAATGGTGCAATGTCATCTGCTATAAGATTCCCGCAGGTTTACTCAGTTTCTTTGTGTGTATTGTTGCGTACTGTACACCACCTAGCACCTAGCCAGTAAATTGGAGCCCTTGTACTCCGTAGTTGAGATCACAATTCTGGTTTCGTTTTTACATGTACTCAGCCAGGATTTTTCTCGCTAAAACCCCTGGTCATATGGGAAATTAGCTGTTTGGTACTGTAATATTATAATCGCTCACATTAATGCACCCTAATGTGGATCCAATATACAGGCCAGGCAGTGTATGTTAGAAAATAAAAAACATGGGGATCGGCCATGTGGCTTGCATCCTTTTGCCACTGGCAGATGGGAACCAGTATCATTGAAACGGCGACTACCCCCTGGGGTCACTTCCTAATACATGTCACCAAGGGTTCTGGGATAATCCGAATCCCTTTATTTTTATAATCGTCTCTTGTACATACCGTCTACCCAACTCAGTTGTGTCAGGACGATTATCATACACCAGCACCAACATCGATTATATCAAAATACGCCTCAATATGAAGATCCAACTATCCACGAACGACCGAATTTACACAACGGGAGATAGTATCATAGGGGAGCTGGTACTCAAGGAAAGGGGCTCATGCGAACGGTTGCGCATCTCATTGGCACTAATCGGTCAGAATATGTTACTGAGCTGCTTCTGAGGACAAATCTAAGCTAACAACTCCTACAGGGACAGCGCAGGTTGTGGTGACGACGCTGGCTCCTTTAGCCAACAGTGGAAGCACAGTGGACAACGTATTTCTCAAGATGCACCAATTCGACCATGCACTGGAGTTGTATCCAAAAAATGGGATCTTTCCAATATTGTTCGTTGTTCCTGATGCGCTTCTTTCTGACCCTGGTTCCAAGCCGATGGCTGGAGTGGGATTCAATCACGGTCACTGTCAACTTCCTCCCACCATCCACTACAAGGCGGATCAATTCTGCCCTAAAATGTGTAGCATTGCCTACTACATTTATGCTGAAGTTACTTTGGAATGCGGTGAAATGTTGCACATTAAGAGACCAGTTCGGCTTCTTCCGTCGTACTTGGAGAGACCACCTCGCCTCTGGGTTAATAGCGGCAACGTTCAACTTTCTGATGTAACTCGACTTCGAAAGACGCTGTGGGCGGCTAGTCAGGGCCAGCTCACAGTGAATTCTCCTCAGCAAAAATCTGCCTATCTTCCTGTTGAAACTCGAGGTAGATCGGATATAGCCCCGATACATCTAGATCTCGATTTCGATCTAGAGGGTGTTGAGGTATCAAACGAGCTACCACAACAGTGTCAACTTCGCACAGTTCTTGAGGCTGTGACATACTTAACTACAACCCCAATGAGTGGCCTGCCTGACGAAGTACGCTTTCGCGATGATCCCAATGCACAAGTCTTTCGAAGAAGTTTATGTTTGTGGAAGAACAAAGGGGTTGCTCTGAACTGGGTCGAAAGGAATGGGAAAACCAGTGGTTCACGTCAAGCAGCCATCCTTGTCCCAGTAGCAGTACCTGAGGAGGCTAGCATTTCTCCAACATTCTATCACTGTCATATTTCTAGAGAGTATTTTATGCGGGTTGAGCTGGTTGTTGGGAGATCCCAGCCCCTACATCTCAAGCTGCCCCTTCAAGTTTACAATTCCCTTGGATGTTAAGTGAAATAAATGAAATGTTTTGTTTCTATGATTTATACGAAAACAAGGCAGATACTTAGAGCAGAAGACGGAGGGAAAGGTGGAGGGAAAGGGACATGTTCGTGCTCCGGGGGAGAAATAGGGGCCAAGTGTAGGATTGGCCCTTGAAATGGTTAGTGATCCACTAGCGCCGCTAGTGTGTGTGATAAGGCATAGGCTGTTAACTAGATGTTTGCTGTGAACTGAGTCAATTGGATCATCTCCACATGCAAGATCAATCCCTAGACGTGCATCCTAGTTTTCTGTCCAAATTTGTACACAAGACAAGATATAGGCATGGAGAACCACAGGTATTGAAATATAAGAACCATTCCTTTAGCCGTTGTCATCCCCTCGGTTCATGGGCGGTCAAGGGGCAGCTGGACGCCTCAATACCGGCTATTAATAGCGATGACTTCTGTCAATTCAAACCTGAAATTCATCAAACTTCCCAATAAGGGTGACTGCATAGGAGTCAGGCGCTATCAATTTCCACGAATATTTCAGCTTACTGTAGGATACCAATTCATGCCCCTGTATCGTAATCGCTCAACCCTCAGTGGCCTTAGGGATACACTTGGTTTTTACTAATGGTGAATTTCGGTCAAGGGTATCCTGTATACTATGTACTATTAATGAACGAAACACCAGTCCCTCATGGACTCATGGATTTGATTATTTGATCCTTGAGTAGTTGAACCGTCGTGACTACCAGGGGAAACGGTTCTCCCTTGTTATTCCTGTACATTTTATGTTTTTTACCACCTTCACACGCATCTAAAAAAACACAACAAGGCCGCATAGGCAGTCGGCTACTCTTTTCTGAATTACATGAGAAACTATGCCTATGTCCATTCAATGATACCGAGAGTGTCATTAAGCTCTGGTGTCTTTGGGGATATCATTTGAGTTGAAGTGTTTTCTAAATCAATTGTTCAACGGTTGTAGTGACCCTAAGATATCATGTATATTGATGTTAACTATGAGTATCACCACCTTAGATTTATGATGGTAGGCTACTATGTCCGAGCTCGAGCTTGTTCAGGCACCTAGGTCAAGCAAACACTGACAATCTGTAGGGAATAGTAACACTTTAGAGTGGAAGTCCTCGCTACAAGTTTATTGTTTTCCGAGGCAAGGCGATGCCTGAGCTCCATCACAACAATATCTAACAATACCCAATCATTAGCATAAACTAATCCTTCCACTTGCTGTTGTTAGAGCTGCATAGACGTTCTAGAACCAGAATACACTTTCAATATCTCATGTCAGAATAAAGTATGATTAGGGTGAGATAGAAGATACCTGTGAAAGTGCTGTATGTGTGACCCGTTTGTGGTGGACAAACGGAGCAAGAACTTTCTTCAAGATATCTGTTTACCTACAACCCAACTCATCTTACAACTTACCTTCGACCACTCTGCATATTCCTTTGCCAACTAACCATCTTCTCATCCTGGTCCATCAGTGGACCGATGACGGTCAAAGCCAAAGGTTCTGACCTTTCTGATAGACTGCCCACTGGTAACACAATACGTGTGCTCTGTAGTAAGTTGACCCCTATGCGTGTTCGTTGACCCTTGAACATAATACCCTGGTCTGTCTCAATATGCCCTCTTGCAAATGATGATTGTTTGATGATCTGAGCTGCATGACGAAGAAATTGTCACTCTGATACGAGAGGTGAATGGCTAATGAGAATCACTTTGTTCCTAAAAGCTACTGGACCAAACAATCCCCATTCGACTCCTACAATTAGCTGACCTGGTCCCTTTGCTTTGACAGATTTGCACTCCCCTATAACCTGGTCCTTTGGCACCTCAAGTCAAGTTTTCATTGAACACAGTGAGAAATTTCTACGCGGCTCTCGAATACAATAGAGTCCTATAGGCATCAACCTTTCTAGATCTCCTGGGCCTCACCCATTCATTCACGCCTGCGAAATGCGATATCCCAGATACTCTGGCTATCTTCACCCGCTAAGGTATTTCCTTGATTCAACACGTATGATATGGCCTGCTTTTACAATTCTGCCTGCAATGCTCCCAGTCCTCTCCCAACTACATTGCACCAACTGATGTGATAATAAACATGTCAGTGACCTTGAAATATGTGATACTGCAAGGTCTGATGCGATGTACTTGATGCACATCCCTCCAGGATGGAACCGAGCAATCCCTGTCGAGCACTATCATGATACTGACTGTGGAATTTCCAGGCATGACATATCTGTCTATAAGGCTCTTGTTTTTCCAGCATCAAAGGCAAAATATATGAGATGTTTCCTCGGCCACATATCGTTTCAATGCTTCTTGTGACTCCATTCACATCACACAAGGTACATATTAATCTATCTACTCCCCCCCCCCAAAAAGGTTCCAACTATTGTTATGACATGCTTGCAAGTGATGACCAAAACTCGAATGAAAGTGTTACGGAAACTACCATGTCGTACAAAATTACTCCGATACAAGTGTTGTCGCTAACTATAGAACGCACTGGCCTTACCACTCCCATGACAGAGCAAGAAATCATTGACTGACCATGAGAGTTTTGTCTTCAGATGCCTGTTACTGACCTAGCGCATGCTAGAAGTTGCAAGATTGTATCTTGCATATCTCTTCTCTCGAAAGCTCGAGCTCGTTCTCTCTCGGTTTTATTCTGGTTGGTACAACATACATTTCATTTTCTAAGACGGCCATACTCTGCTTCGCTTGCACGTGATGATATATGTTTTGTGTTGAAAAGCCCATGTGAACAAAATTTACCTCAATCTGATCCTGGTGAAAGCAGCCACGGCTATCTCTTTCTTTCATTTTTTTTTATTTCTTGAAGTTGATACTACAGTTTACCGACTTTGATTGAATATGGCAGGCTAACAAGAGAATTGCGCAGATAAAAGCATGCGGCACAGATTTTTTGAACTCTCCAAATCTCGAAATATCATGCCTAGTGAGTTGAAACCCATTGTCCACCTGCGATTTGATATGCTTTCATGCACCACATTTCAATCCTCGGGGAATGCTTGATTCAGAACTCCCAAATGATGATAACGATCCATCTTCTGATACAATGCTGAAAATATCTGGCCATCTGATGTGAGATGAATACAAGTCCCCGAGGCTAGATGATCTAGCAAAACCAATCAACCATGGCTATCTCCTACACTTAGATTCTCTTTATTTGTACGGGATGGACCGATGATTGATTTGCAGATAAAAGCATGCTACCGCTTTTATTACAACGAACTCACATTGATATCTCACTACAAATGAGTGCAACGTGGAATGCTCCATATCAAAAAGCAGCCAACTTCGGATGTGCAACGGGGATTGTCAAGCATAATTTCATCGGGCTGAACATCTTGATCGATGGTCATATCACGTACGAATCTGTCGATTTAAGGCTACTTGGTATATAGTAATAAGACAATGGTTTTAAGGACCTTGCAAGATTGTATTGCCTAAGGTATGAGTCGCTGAAATAGTACATCTAAATACAAAGTCATGAGATGCTGCGCAAATGGAAGGGAAAAAAAACCAAGCGCAACACGCAACTAGTAACGCTGTGCACCCCGCTGGATCGTATCATTCGCACCATCCAGCGCAAGGCGATCTCCCTCTTCATCTTCATTTTCATAGTACCGTCGATCCCGAATGTAGTACGGTCTCTCAACGTATTCCGCGGGCTGTCTGTCCCTGAAGGCACTGGGCTCGCGGGCCGGGCCAGTTGGTCGCACGCTCCCAACTCGCTGAACAACCTCATGTGAGTTTTCATAGCGAGGCTGTGGAGGACGCACACTGGCTGTCCGAATTATTCTCTCCTGGGGCACTCCACGCTCATCAACATAGACCGCATGACGAGGAAGGTACTCCGCTACTTGTACACTGCTGCTGCGTGAGTAAGGTTCATGGCCCTCCAAAGGAGCAGCGTAGCCTTGTCTCTCATCGGCTGCTACGGGGCGAGCATATTCTGACGTCACTCGCCTGTAGACTGGCTGGGGCGGGGGCATTTCCTGCACATAGTGTCGTTCACCGTAGTGGTCTTGCACAACTGAAGGCGCACGAACACTACCCGCGTGATGATGCACGCGTTCATCGTAAACATCCTTTGACATCCGAGAGACTGGTCGGGGCGGGGGTGGAGGTGCCATCGGCTGCAGTCTTGGGACCTGTGGCAACTCGTAATACTGAGTGCCATGCTCATCAACCACGATCCGACGGAGAGAGGGTGCCATAATCCGTGCCGGCGGTGCCTCTTCGTAGTAAGTCTCCCGATATGTTGGGGGCGGCATGTCATCCGCAGCAATGTAACGATGCTGCGTGTAAGAAGGGGCTTCTTCGTAGTACCTTGGCCGCTCTTGAACCGGGCGTTCCACAACGTATGATGCTGCTCGAACTGGGCGTGGCTGGGCCTCGATGTACTCACGGGCATAGTCTGATTGTCGAGCATACTGTGAACTTGCGACTCGTCGAAGATCAGCTTCCTCCCGGATGGGTCGTCTGATGCTCAGACGGGATATTGTGCGCTGGGGACCAGCGTCTGGTAGCGGCTCGTGATACGGGTCAATTTCGTAAACTGGCTCTCGCACTAGTGGTCCGCGACTTTCATATACTGGAGTGTATTGAGGGGACGCGATGTCAATGTAGACGGGGCGCTCTGCTGGGTGTCGGGTACGAACCACCGTAGAATCATCGGCGAAAGGTGGCGGCGAAACAGGCTCCTCTTTGATGAAGGTCTCGACAGGTTCTGCATTTTGTGTCCTGTGCAAGGTTTGGCGGGGGCCTCCATCGCCTTCACGCAGCCGCCTCCGTTTTCGGGACATGACGTGAAAGACCTGTGCGTTGGGACTACCACGAGCAGAATCAGGGTCCGAGTACACCTGTTCAGAACCATGTTCAGATCGTTCATCCCGGATTTGCTGTACAGAAGGAACCTTTGCAATGGCTAGAGGTGACACTCGAGATGGCCGGGGAGCTGCC